TCTATATATTTAGACAAATCCATTGTAAAATTGGAATTTTAAACCTCTTAGAGTTAGAGATTAGATTTGGAAAGAATGGAGGGGAAATGGCTACCTTCTTCCTAGGTAGATGTGGTTTCAAGCTTCTAAAATTTCAATTTAACTCAAGTCTTCTTATCTGCTTCAAAACTTGCCTCTAAGCCCTCTTTTGACTCTACAACTCATTCAAATGAGGGGAAGTGGGAAGTATAGGGGCTAATGTTCAAAAGTTTGGGTACTTGACATATTTAGTCCCTTTAATTCTTATTTTGCTCATTTGGCTACAAAATGGTCCCAACACTTCACATATAACTTCTACTTTACTAAATTAACCGCATATATTTAGTCAAATATTTAACATGGCCAAACCTAACTAAATCAAAGCCGCACTTAAGTTTCTTGGATTTATCAAATATTAATACCTCAAACTTAAAATTTTTATTTACCCCTACATACCTTCTAATAACTAAATTTTATTTATTTAAATTATATATATATATATATATATGTGTGTGTGTGTGTGTATGTGTGTGTGTATGTGTGTGTGTATATATATATATATATATATATATATATATATATATATAATTTAGTTTTCCGAAATAATTTTACTTAAAATGTTTAGATTCTAGCCTTGGAATACGAGTGTTACATGAAAGAATGAAAATTAAGAGAAGTGGTATGTGATTTTTGCTGGTGATTTGTATCACTTATATTATTTGAGTATAATGGATTAATTTCTTGACCAATGTAACCTTGATAAATATTGAACAAGTTAGGATGATGCGGAGTATGCATTTGTTTAAGTTTGTCTTGGTTGAAAGTAAGCTAGTATTTAGGGGTGAATCCCCTGAACCGACGGGGGTCCGGGGGTAGTGCTCCTAGAACCGGGGTCCAAGGGGGTGACTACCCCCGACGGGGTCCAAGGGGTAGAGCCCTTAGCTGTGGTTGATTTTGCTTTATGAAAAAAGGCATTAAAATCCAAATTGGCATCTCAAACTCGATTTTGTAATCTTATATTTGAACCGGTTTTTAGGGGAATTTTATGTTTGTTATTAGATGGTTGTGAAATACTTTTATGACAGTTTTCCATCAGTTTTCAAACATAGATAATATATCCGATCTAAAGATTTTGAGAGTGCCATCGAAATAATTTGATCTGAAAGTGTTATCCACGACTCTCAGTTTTTGAAAATTTCTAAGCTCACCGGTTTTCTAACAATTTTATAGAAAGTTCTCTATTGAACAATTTTTCATGAAGTTCATCAAAGGTGATAGGTGTATCACGAGCATGAACACCATTAATGACTCCTTAATTACTAGCATCAAGATTTTCAAGAACTTTATCAATGATATCTTTAGGATTCATATGTTTACCAAGAATGGCTAGTTGATCGACACACGTATTTATGGGGGTTCATGTATTATGCGATTAAATGAGAGCCTATGGTAATAGCCTTCAAATTGGATCATACATATTTGAGATAACCACGTGATTGTTTGGCAAATATGTTGGCAAGAGCATCCCAAACACTTTTGCAGGTTTCATAGCAAGATATACATGGAACAAGGGTGGGTTTTATGGTTCCAAAAAGTGATTCAAAGAGGAGTTTGTATAACTAGATCCAAGTTATGTGAGAAAGGTTCGTGGTGGTGTCTATTCGAATAAGACAATTTGAGATGGTGCTGGAAATAACCATCCAGAGACTTAAGGAGGCTATACCCAATGGAGTAGCTTCGATTTGGAGTTTCCAAGACAAATAGTTGGTGGTTGTGAGTTTGAGGATGTTGGTAAGGTTGATAACCACCTGTGGAGTTGCGGGATCATCAACATTTGGAATTGTAGTTGAAGCCATTGAAGACATGCTTGAGAGAAGAGGAAAGTAAATTGGATTAGAGCTAGACATAAAATTGCTCGAATACCATATGGATAAGAGGGGAAAATTAAAAAAAAAAAATTGATTATCCTTTATCAAGATGGATAGGGCCGGCCCATGGGGAGTTCAGAAGGTGCCCATGAACAGGGACCAAAAATCATAGGGCCCATATTTTTTTTAGCATTTATAGTAAGTTGTGTTCAGTTAAGGGATCAAATAGAAATTAGGTTTGGTAAGCATCAAGCGACGCAACGCAAGGAGGAGCAGGAAAATCAATTTTTTGGGGGGAAAGAAAAAAACGCTTCGGTTTCTTCTTCTTCACTAATAACGCATGGGTACAAATTAAATCATTCTCATGATAGGAAACAACAACGAGATTATTGTTGCTTAATATTAGTAGGTCTAAGAGGCAATCAATATCATCAATCTTACTAGTTACTTATTTCTTCTTTCTTCACGAAATTCTGAAGGCCGAAGCAACGATTTAAGATGCAATCATCAATCTTGAGGTTTCAAAATTAGAAGGTAAATGAATTCTGAGTTTTGATTTTTTATGATTTTTTTCTACTTCGTTTTTTATGGGTTTGTAATAAGAAAGTAAGGAGCTCTTATTTATTTTTTATTTTGAAGGTATAGAAAAAATAGTTTTGAAAACCGAAAGGCACAAGGAAGTCAATTTCGAAAACCAGAAGGAATAAAGAAATTAATTTCTGATTTTTGAAGGTACAATTAACTCGGCTTTTATTTTTTCCTTTTGTGTTTGTTTTTTATTTTTATTTCTGATTATTTATGATTTATAAGTAAATCAATTTTTTTTTCTTTCATTCTTTTTGAATCCTATTTTCTTGATTTCAGATGCATTGAAGAAAAATATTCGAATTGTCAATCCTTCTTTGAGGTTTAGAAGTTTATGATTTTTAGATTTTTTTTAGTTTCAGAAAACTAGAGGGTAACTTTATGATTTCTGATTTTTTAGATAGAAGCAAATTAGAGTTTTATTTTTCTCATGCTATAATATAAGTTGCTGGTTTCATTTGGTTGTTTTTACAGTTTTATTAGAAGCAAATCATTGATCAAAGTCTTATTCTTCAGAATCAAGAAGAGAAGCAAATCCCCAAATCAGAGCATTATTATTTAGAAGAATTACAGTTTTCAAGTTGAAGCAAATTTGTTTTTGTTTTGTTTTTTTTTTTTTTTTTTTTTTTTGTGTATTATTTTTTCACGAAAATTTAACTTATGTTTTTTACAATAAAAATGAAAAAGCATAATTTTTTCATGAAAATTTAACTTATGTATTTTACAATAAAAATGAAAAAGCATAATTGGTTTGCTTAAATGTTTAGATCTTTCTAATTTTAGGGTTTATTTTTTGTTAAAATGCATAGGACCTTCAAAATCTCCGACCGGCCCTAAAGATGGATATATAATACAAATGTATGCTATCAATAAGAAACATAAATGTAAAATCCTAATTTATAGATGAATTGGGTCGTTTGAATGAGTAGTTAATAAGATGAGATAAAATCTCACATTTATTCTTAACGAGACTATTTTTCGGGCGGTTTGGAAAGCTAGAAACGGTATTTTGTTTAAGTAATTGAAGGCCTTAAAATAATATTTGGAGGATGACATACACACGATGCTTTTCTGGTGGGAAAATTCTTTAGAAAGCTTGTAACATGTAAACTTGTCGTCTCTTGCTAGTTTATTTTTGTTGCTTTTATAATACCATCTACCTTGTTAAAAAAAGCTTAAATTACAAGTTGAGACTAGCCCACTTAATTAACATAGAGGTCTAATCTAACAACTAATTAAGAAGTCTTGGGTTCAATCTTAAGGAGAGGAGAAATATATATATATATATATATATATATATATATATATATATATATATATATATATATATATATATATATATATATATATATATATATTTTTTTTTTGCCGTTACAAAAAAAAAAGCTTAAATTAATGACTATTGCAATTATTATATTACCATTCGCCTTGTTAAAAAAAATCTCAAATAAATGAATATTGTAATTGTTATATTATAAACCTATATATGGATGTAAAATATCTTAATTTGGTTGTATTATAGGAGTTGATTTTTATGTGTATGATTAATGAACTTCTTGAGTGAATGAATTATCTCCATAAAACTAAATATGAACCCCGAGCAAATTGGAATATGGAAGCTTGTACCTGAGAATGTTCAATGGATTAACGAGTGTTTGAGGATGTTCTTTAAAATGATTTAGGTGTCGTTTGTTTTTTCAAAAAAATTATTTCTGATCATTTATTGTAGCGCCGCGCAACACTTGGTCTTTCACAATTGTTTATTTTTTAGAATACTTCTGACTTAAAAACTGTTGCGTTGTGTTGCGTGGCGCAACACTTGACCCTATGCTTCAAACATCTTCACACCTGACTTTAACATATTGAAACAGTTTGCAGGTTAAAAAAAACAAATAGACATTTTATTATATGCTACAGTCGTTTGGTCCCCTCTTCTGCTATAAAGGATTGCAGAGATGGTTCGCCGACTTCAAAAATTTTCGTTTCGAAAACACAAACTGCAGCTTATTAACACTTTTAAAAAAGTATAAAAAATTAAAAATGTGATGTGCTTAGTAAATATGACTTTTTAAGAAAAAAAATGATTTTAGAAAAACTAGGCAAAATGCTATGTCAGACGACCCATACATCCATCCCATAATGAAAATATTTCAAACATTCCAATTTCAACCAATAAAAATATTTCAAACATTAATTAGGATGGTCTAAATGGTAAAATAAGGTGTCTTATTAACCAACCCCAGAACTACACGGTGATTCATATCCCAAGAACAAGAAAAGGCCACATTAACATCCCACATTAATGGGTAATGGGGATGAATGTTGTTTTAACATGGGGAAGCCGAGTTAATAATGGTAACTGCATTTAATATACAACAATTGCATTTTAGTACTTTAAGAAGTTTAATTTTATGTAACCTTTCAACTACCCCGAAATTTGAACGACTGGAGGCACCGGTTTCCAAAGAGGATCGGCCATGTACTAATAAGCTCAGACACCTTACATTTCCTTTCACTCATGATCATCAAATGGCTTCACCTCAACACCTATCAATCATGGAGAAGCTTCCAAACGATATCTTATCAAACATATTTATCCGTTTATTGGCAAAACAGCTTGCTCAAATGAGGTGCGTCTCTAAAACTTGTAATGATCTATTGTCTTCACCCTCCTTTGTAAAATCCCATCTCGATCATTCACGCCATAAAAACGATGAAATCCTCTTGGTCTTCTACCATCTGTTTTCTTTACACTCTAAACCATTCACATCACACCCCTTGCGATCTCCCCATCTCGAACTCACTGATTTCATAAAACTCCCGACAAATCTCCAATCTGAACGTGATCATCATGGTTATGTTATTGGATCCGTTAATGGCCTAATATGCTTTCAGTATGGACCATATCTCGATGGAGACTACTACATTTGAAACCCTTCTCTCTCCGGTTTGTTAATTCTCCCACCAAGTGATATGCCAGCTACTATGTGTGATGGCAATGTTTAGACATGGTGGTGAATGTGAGGTGTGGGTGATGAATGAGTATGGGGTGGTTGATTCGTGGGTAAAACATCATGTCTTTTCAAAGTATCGTGGAGGTGTATGTCCGTTTGGGTTCACGTTACACAATGAGTTTGTCTTTGGTGTTTGTGACAGACTAACTTTGTACGATCCAATTGCAGAAAAGGTTAAACACTTCAAGATTAAGTCTATAAAATGTGGTCATTCTATAGTTGTTGAGTATGTGGATAGTGTTGTTTGGGTTGCACCAACCAAGCATAAGATTAGTTGCCGTAAATTTTCTCGATTGAAGTTTTGAAGAGGCATTAGTGGGATAGTGTATTGCCGAAATAGCTACATAAGGCAACACAATATGTCTACTTCTTCTATCTTTTGTTATGACTTACGTCTACTCTGTCTGCATGATGTTATGTTTCTTATATTTTAGGTTTATGTCAAGTAATTCCTTTTTTTAGTCCATTGTATGATTGCATCTATCATGCTTTCTCTTGTCAGTTTAATGTGTTTGACCATGTGGTTCAGTTTTCTTTTCTATTGTGTTATGTTTGATGTTTCTGTTACTCTTTCTCTTAAGCATGCAATAAATGCTTGTCTCCTTTTCCCTTACAACTTTTGGATATCTAAGAGCATACGGTGTGGGTCACAACGAGAAATGAATTGGCTGAGTTGGCACATGAAAACGGCGTCATGACACGGAGAACACCGCCCCCCAACTTGTTGAATCTCGTTATGGCACTTCTCGTGCTCGTTACCACATATTGAAACGAGAATAATAACCAATCAAAATCATTTTCTTATCTCTTTCTCTCTTTCTCTCTCTACCTTTTTCTACCTCTTAACAAGTTATGATATTGGAACACCACCCCCTTTTTTTGTTGCTTATTGTCATAACACCACTTCATGTTGCCCATACCATATGCTCTAAACGCTGATCAGAACAGTATCTGCTCATTTCAAAAGAATTAACACAAAACTTTACATTTCATCAAAAATTTTAATTAACAAATTCAACAACTATGAAACTCAAAACAAGGACGAAGCAAGAATATACTATATTGATTGTTCAATTGGATGTAATGAACATTCCGAATCAGACTCAAAGAAGGCAGCGATCAAGTAACCCTTTTCTCGTTTCTAAACTAGTCTAATTACAGAATATAACCTATTAATATCGTTTGCTTGATGTAATGATGCTTGTTATAGTCCAAAAGTTGCACCTCAATCTTCCATCTGACTTTACTGCTCACAAGTCCCTTTTTCTTTCTATCAACTTGACATCTTTAGTACAAGGTCTTCGTGTTAAGCTTCTTTTATACTTTGAACAACTTATCAACTTTGGTCCTTCTGTCTCTGCATCGGCTTTCCCTTTATTTCATAGTATAACACCTAAAAAAATAAAGTCAACATAGTCACATTTTCATTTTTATATGAATTTAATAGGAATTTTGTAATTTGCCTCTTAAAGTTACTAATCCGTTTTACTCTTGTATGACTAGTTATAGAAATCTGATTATTTGACCCTTCAAAATGCAATGACAATAACGCAATGATCAAATATATCTGTACATGTCTATTTGTAATGCATTTGTGGCAAAGTTTATATAAGCAACCTTTGCTGTTTACCATTTTGTAATGACTTCATCTTTTAAGGTCAATAAGAGCAATCTTATATTATCTTAAATTGTTCAAAATCTTTCAATGCCTAGTCTCGATTCACCTTTACAAGTACTTCACAAGCAACTATCAACCCTCCACTTGGCCTTTTATTGGAGTGTTCAAGGTCGCACATGTTAGAAATTTAACCTTGTGACATTACTTGAGAAGTAATTAGAAGTTCATGGTTTGAATGTGTCAATGTTGCAAAGTTGAAGGCTGAATGTCTATCTTTGCAAGTTTTTGTAACATCCCAAAAATCAAGACAAAATTTTCACTTTTCAAACCAATCCAAAATCTATAATATCATAAAACATAGTTTCCAATAGTTATAAAACATGTAATCAGAGTGTCCCCAAAATCATAATCACATAAAATCTAGGATGATGTGCGCGATCAAGCCTTTGCCTTTCTCTATCCTTTGAAGTGTCTGAAACCATAAATTCAAATTATAAGCTAAATCTTAGTAAGTTTCCCCAAAGTACCATACACAACAAACATACAAGCATGCATAGGTATCAGACTTGATTACCCTGGCCGAATCAATCATCGGACTGGAATGCTTAGGCCTAATCAGTCATCAGGCTGGAATACCCTGGCCTAATCAGTCATCGGACTAGAATGCCTTGGCCTAATCAGTCATTGGACTAGAATGTCTTGGTCTGTTGTCTTACGGATATATAGCAGTAAAGCCTTAACCCGAAACACACTATGTCGACATATGCAACAGATAAAACGTATAACAACACACAAATAACCATGCAGATCTAACAAATCACTATAACATAACAACATCCTATATACTAGGATACATAACCTAAAGGGCCGACATTGGTACCTTCGACCCATAACTACAGTGAGGACAACTCATCTCACAATCTGAAAAATAGATGAACAAATCACTGCTCCAGATACTGCCTCTACAAATTACCTATATAATCTACTATAATAAATGAAGGTTTTTTTTTGCCACATGTCCTCTTCTCATTCATTTGGACACATGGCATTTTCTAGAATTTTTAAAATTTCTATTTTCCACTTGTTATTTTATTGTATTTTTTATTTTATTAAATTAAAATTTCATATTTAATGTGTAAGGTAATATATATGTAAAGTATTTTACTAGAAAGAGTTTATATATGTAATGTATTCAATACATTAAAGTCTCATTGATTTTAATAATTCAATTTTTTTTCATTTTTCTTATAAATTGAAACTTTTCAAATTGTTAAAATTTGATATTTGTTTTTTTTTAATTAAACCCATGTAATACATGGGTCTCACACCTAGTAACATATATAATAAACAGGGACCAAGCCTCAATCTACTACTCAAATCACACTCTAACTGACCTAAATTTAAACTTGGTTAATGGTCAAAGTCCTTATTCAAAAATCTTACAGCCTGATGTCACGTCGTCACCTTCTAGCTGTCACGTCGTGAGCGAATGCGACAAAATAGTCGAGATGGACCATTCTCACATTGTGATCCATGAATGCTTACGTTGTGAAAAACGCTCTAAACAATTTTAGAAAAATAAGTTCTTAATCCTTTTCAGACCAACAACCAAAACTTCCATAACAACTTATCTACTCTAGAACATTATAAAGACCATGGCTTTTTGGGCATGCATGTCCAATGCATGTCCTAAACACAAACTGTGACATCCCCAAAATCTCGACCAGAAAAGACCGAATTTCATTTATGCTTTTAAAATAATTTCAGAGTAAATCCTTTTGATTTGAAAGAGTTGCGGAATTTGTTCCCCAAAACAAAACATGATAAAACAATGTTTACCAAAGCAGTTCATAAAAGAAATATATTTTCATTATATAATCAAAACTCGGGGTGTCATGTTCCGATACAAACCATTAAGCATAAACAATAACATTACAAGTCATTCAACAAATATATACATACACAGACTTGTAAACAAACAACTTGATGGTTCGTCCATCTTACGCCCTTGCGCCACTTCGTGTAATACAAATAAAACTGAGTGGGTCAGGCTTGGGAGTCTGGTGAGCATATAGGGTTTTCAACCCACAATAAATAAATTATATTTAATTTCACCAACCAATCACTATCCCGATTACCCATTCCCGTTATCCTCACTTTACGTCCTTAAAACAACATCTATCTCAAGGGACCTAATCTACGATTTTTTATCGGGACGGACATTACTGCTAAGGGGTTTCCTCAACAATAGATATCCTAAAGGCAACCATGAAGGGGATAGAGTACACCGGTGAACACATCGTTCATAACACCTACAGGTTATGAACCTGCTAGCGTTCCACGAGACTGTCTAGAAGGAGTCTGTGGTCGTTATCCATACTCCGCTGAATAACTAGGTCAACAACAACAACATCGAGGCCTCTTATCTGTTTATTACACACCAACTATCTACCCATGTTCTACCCAACATATTAGTAGATAAAAAAATATATTTTTATACATAGTTTAAAACCTGTATAACATTTTCATCCAATACATATTTCACATAACAGATGAGGCATACCCACATAACACGTATTTCATAGAAAACAATTCAGATCTATGAGATTGAAAAGAGTGAATATACATTCACGCACATAACAACAAAATTATACACATAACACGTATTTCGTATAAAATACTTCATAATTATGCGTTAGAAGAAATTAACTACACACTTACTTGATCAGAAGATGATCGGACAACACTACGGCTCGTAGAAGTAGTAATCCTCAGCAGATCTGAAAGATCTTCACAAAAATCGGACTCCTCGCGGGCAGAGCTTCGGCTCGGCATTTGCACTTCTCGGGATCTCGGGACTTGCTTCGGGGCTCGGGAATATTACCGGGGCTTCGAGGTATTTCTGGCACGCAAAACGATGCAAAACGGGAGAGAGAATGGAGAAAAATAGCAAAGAAACTCGGCAGTCTCGCATCCTATTTATAGGAGGCTGGAGCCTCGGAGTACGCGGGGTGTACAGGTCCGAAATCGTCACTGCGTTCATCATCCGAAGTCCTCGAGTGTGAATGTCGACACCTTCGTTGTACGCGGGGCGTACTCCGGATGAGTCCGGTGACTCGCCTTCGGATAAGGCCGGATTTTCCAATTAAAATTAAATACAAATTATTTAATAAACTTCGGAAATTCATATCTTCTTCATACGAACTTCGTTTTTGACGTTCTTTATATCCACGCGAAGGTGATACTACGCTCTACAACTTTTGTTTAGACTCCGTCGGCTAATTTTGACTTTATTTTTA